TGCTCTGGAGTCCTGACTAGCCAGCCAGGTACTGTAAACCTCGCCCATTTCGTGGTACTTGCGCCGACATTGGAAGCTCAGTAGTCACCAGCCTATAGGACTGTGCCTGTCAAGCCGGCTCGGTTCAACCACCACCTTTCGGCTTCGCCCGACCCCGCCTTGTGGATATCGTCACCTCCGTGAGTTTCAGCTCCCGCCTAAGGACGTGAGGGGTCAAAATCTGCGGTTCCAGTGGCTCACAAATGTACATGCCTGAGTTTCTGAGCATTGCTAACGGTTCAATTAGTTCCTGAGGTTCCCTCCACTAAACTTGTGGGACCCATGAGGCCTGCGCTATGGAGAGCATCCCAGCTGGATAAGCCCGGGCCAAGAGTCTGCGGAGAAACTGGGAAGGCTTTGAGCAGCGAACAGCTTTGAGCATCCCATGCTGGACATCGACAGCCGGCAACGCATGTCCGTATGCCGAACAACAACCTGGGATCCGGCCACCAGGGTATTCCTCAAGGCGTCATGGGGATACTCTTTTCGGTCGGGTTTGAAAGGAACCAAGGAAGCCAAACATTTTAGTTGGTGTCCCCCTATTCTGAGACATGCGAGTGCGTGTCCTTTTCAGGGAAAAATCCCCCATGTGGTTTTCTGGCTGGTTTTCCTTCAAAGCCACAAACCAGGGTACCCTCAACGGGTACCCTCAAAGAGACCCGCGGATACCACATGTCCCGATCTGGCCATTGACCGGCTCGGGAGCCGGGAGCCGGGCGAAGCGCCGAAGCTGAGCCTCGGGCGCCCCGGGTCCCAACTGCGCCATAAACCACGCCCGAACTCCCCCTTGGTACGGCAACCAAAATGGCAGTGGTTGCGGCTTGCTGGAAGGTGTGCTTTTTTTGGGGACAAGACACCTTGTAGTGAATCAAACCAAAAAGCAATGACAAAGATTTTTTGAGAGTACAGCCCGTGGAGTTCGCTTAAGAAGTCGTTTGGGCAACAAGAAGAGCCCAATCCCGCAGATCAGCTAAGGTGGATCACCATGTGCCCTAGCCTCAAGACACGTTCCCAAACGGTGAAGTCGAACTAATTACCCCCCAAAAAACACCGAACAAGGTCGCCCACTGTTGGCTCAATGGGCTCAAATAGTCTCAGCTCTTGAGAGAAGTCCAACTGGACGTACTCAAAATGGAGCCCCTTTTTAAAATTTTTGGGTGATGCTTCAGGGGAAAAGCGAAGCCATGTGGGGGGACCACTCACTTCCTGAGTGAAAAAAGGCCACAAAACGTGCAAAAAAAACCTCTTTGCCACATTTCTTTGGTCTTCCCAAAAATTACAAAGTGCAAAGTGAGACCGTTAGATCCTTCCCAGTGTTGCCATTTCACACTTCCCAAAGGCCCATGCCAGCTGAGCAGGGCACACGCGGCAGCCGAAGCCGCCATGCGGTTGAAGCTCGTGCCGCCTATGTTCTGGAACGGGCCGGATGGAAAGCGGGGTGGCGACCGGGAAGCATTGAACCAGGAAAAGGACTTCTTTTGCAAGCCAGCATCTTGCTATCAGTCAGTTCCTGGCTGTCTGTCAGCAAGGAACCTCCCCAAAAATCACTGGAAGATTCGTGGAAACCAGCAAACCCATCATCTGCCCGCATGCAAGCCATCTTGACAGTGAAGGCAAAGCATCTAGATCGCCGATTGCCGCGCAAAGAAAAACGCAATACTGAAGCATTTGCGCCGCTGGATACTTGACAGGCATCTAAGACGTCCGCTTCAAAGCCAACGCCGCCCTGCAAATCCCTGTCGCGGCTTTCGAGTACCCCAATGACGTTGAGTTGCCCTTGGCAACTCTGTAATGTGCTCTGCGAGCAGTCGGATTCAATACATGGATCATGGGCCGCTCAGAACCTCCAGCATCAATTGTTTCCTGTAATGTCTCGTTGTGTTGCCAAAGGCAACTTGCTGCATCCTTCGGAATGCTGTAAAAGCAAAAAACCTCCTCTCCGCAACAATCACTATGGCTCACATAGCGTCTCTATCTAAAGGCACAAACTTGAACACAGCTTCCGAGAAAGCCGGAGCTGGCACATGGCTAGAAGACATGTCCTAATTACCTCACGCAGCAACTCTCAGTATCTCCTTGATAAACCACATCATGTAAATCCAACTGGGGCAGTCTGTGGCGCGCATCTTCAAGGTGCCCTTGGCGTGTCGACTATGTTCATTGCCGAGTTGATGGCATGAATCACATTCAAGGCATGTGTCACTTCTTGGGAGCACTTCATATCTGGCGCCGAGATGCCGTGCAAAATGTAATGACATGGCTTGCCTTGCAAATTCAAGTTAATCCTGTCCTGGGCTATCAATCCCTGCCCTACCAATCTGTAAAATAATTGATGAAGAACAGCCAATAATAATTCTATTATGATTCAATATTGTAGCAAATAAAGACCAATCATTAGATTGAGGATTCTTTTTCCTAATCAAGAGGTTTCTACCGGAAAATTCCTCAATCATATGCTGTGTCTATAGGTGAGTCTCTTTGGCACCATCTTTCCTTTCCCAATATTTCCCTTTCATTCTGGTTCTTGGGAAATATTATAAATGAAACCGTCTGGATTCTAGATTCTTGAGTTTTATTATTTATTGTAAACTTTAGAATCTTGGAAGTTCATAGATTTTATAATCTACAACTTTATTATTGGCATGTTATAGCAATCTTATGGTTATTTGTCTTTCTAGTCTTTTATTATTTGCTATGTCTCTTCTTACATTATATTTATCATCTTATTTTGGATGAGTTTCAGGGAATAGAAAGAGATGTCAAAGATAAAGTGGCCTGACAGTGAATGGGTTCTTCCTCATTTGGGTTCCTGGATAGAGATCCAATATCTATTGCGCTCTGATTGGCGTGCATTCTGAGTGTGAAGGATGGATTGCTGCATCCCTGCGCACTCAAAAGAATGCGTCAATGCACAGCGCTGGAGCCATGATGCCATTCCCATACCTGCAAATTGCCTACAAACACATCATGTGCAGGGCATCGAAACAAGGCATATTGACAGTTGGCTATATGAATGCATAAAACCATGGCGCCTTTTGACCATCTGCCGCCGAAAAGTCCATGAGTCAATGAGGGCCCTCCCCAACACGCCACCTTTGGGCCCCGAACCGCTCTGGCCGCCATAGCTAGAGAGGTGACGCGTTCAAACAAAGCGGCGCCGTGCTGGCAAAGTGCTGGGTGACAAAGGTGCTTCCAACGCAAGCGAATCTACTTGAGCTTCAAGGTGGGACATCTAATATATCCATCTATTTATATAAATTTATACATTGGATAATATATATTGTATATGAGACATGTAACATATATATATATATATATTGCAAATAACGTATGTAAGTATGTACAGTAACATTGTGATAATGAGGTCAAGCCTTGAACCTTCTGTTCCGATGCTCCGTAAAATGAAGGCCCTCGCGGGGTCGTACGAACTAGCGCTTGAGCAAACTTTCACAGTGGAAGTCTGCGCACCGTCTGGTCAGAGCGCCATTTGAGTCATAATCAGAACCTGGTACTAAAATTGTCTACCCAAAACCATGTGAAGAATTCACAAGGCGGCTGCATCCATTTATGGTTGCTAACCTTCATCTACCCGGGGGTTGATTGTGGCTCATTTGTCTTGATGCTTGCTGGCCTGTTGCGCAAACACTTGCCATCCAACTTACCCGATGTGCCAATCAGCAGCACACCTGTTGAGGCACTTGCAATGACCATAACTGCAAGATGTGCAAGCAGGTCAGTCAGACGGACACTATTGCATGCCGGCCAAACTGGCATCCATAAAATTCCGGGCAGCCCTAGCCGGCTATGTGCGCCAAAGCGCCTAAGTGCAAGGAGCCAAGGAGAAAGCAAACGAAACCTATACATGTTCATGTCTGTTTCAGAAAGAATAGCAACTTTGTCATGTCGAACCCTGGAAGTAATGCGCCTGCGCATGCCTGTCGAGTTGGCTGTGGAAATACGCTAAGGTACTTATATACGCTGAGGTTCCCGGAAAGTCAAAGTAAGCTTCCTGCTTGCTGATTGAAGTCAAGTGCATTGCTCGGGTCACAAGACTGGCCACAAACCACACGTTCACCCTGAGAAACCAGGAAAGCAACGTGTGACTTATCATGCGACTCGCAGGATCCGCACTCTTTTCGGCGCGTTGCGGAAAGTGCAGGTCATTAACTCTAGACTCCCACGTGTTGAGGAGTCACAGGCATAACGAGCAAAGGCTCGTCCATTGTGATGCCAAGTGCTGATGCCCAAAAGATGTGAATTTCACTTTCAGTGTGCAGCCATGAACATCCAACTAAGTTGGGATCATCTTGCCACCGGCCGTTGTCGTGATGGTAGCGCGGCCCTTGTGTGCAAACCCCTACCTACATTGCAAGGCTTGAACGTAGCCACTGGGATGGGAGTGTCGTTTCACACAAACACACAAGCTTCTGCACCTATCCAAGCTAGGCACACAGCGCGCAAAGTTCCTCATTCTGAAACAACTTTCTCACATATGCCAATCACAACTTGCTCTGCCTCATCTTCAGAAGGACATGAGCAAACAATCTCAACATACTCAAGGAAGACACAGGCCAAACCTTCTCCATGCCACAAGCAACTTGTGACTTAGCAATGCTACAACTGTCAATGATACCCCTGAGACGTATGTAACATGTGTTCAAAGAGACACCTACAATAGTGAGCACCCATGATGGGCGCAAATCACGCTTTGTCCGTCCAGTTTTTGGGTTGATGGGTCTCTGTCTCCAAACATGAGGCCCAGGAAGCAACGAGACAACCAGCCTGGAGTGAACTTTCGCGCCGCCCGCAAACAGTCCAGTCGTTGCTGTCCCCCTCCAAAGTGAGCACCAAGTCCAACACAAATAAGCGCAGGTGGTATCCGACCTGCTCAAAACTTGTTTTGAACCACTGGGGCAAAGATCCCTAAACTCCAGCTGTTGGAGGAAAATTGACGAACACCG